ACACACACACACACACAATATTTATGGTAATGGTATGCAATAGTAGTATAGTAGTAAATAGTATTTTGTATATTCACAAAAGCATTTTAATTGATGAAAAATCACAGAATATTTTATTATTGAAGCCACATGCTCATCCAAATAGTGCTGTCCTCTGTTGTTATGTGAAGTGTGCATGTATCAGTGGGTAGAGAACCTGTGCTTTAAGTTAGCCGTAAATGCATTATGGTGCACATTATTGACACTTACAACACTTCACAAATTGTAAACTTTGCTCCTAAGTTTAAATTCTTATCTGTATCTTCGGTTTAGGTCTTATGTTTATCTATTCTTTTTAAGATGAGTCAGAAGGTTGTGGAGTTTGTGCGTCATGTCTGTTTATATCTGTAATTGTTGTGCAGTGAAGTGCACACTGCTGAAATTGGACTAGAAGCAATGCTACTATGACTTCCACTATTGTGCAAAAAAAAAGTTGAAAAACTTTAACTTCACATACGTTTAGCTCATGAGACACCATTTAATCACTGGACTAGATTTATAGCTTCTTTGCATCTAAATTTAATCTGTAAAAATGACCTGCAATAATGGCCGTCTCTCCATGCTTATTTAATTTTCCGGAATATACACATGAATAGCTCAGAAGAATAATGTAATGAACTCATGTGTAATGGCTAATTTCAGAGTTAACTCTACAAATGAACTTTTCTGCTAACTTTACTGTATTTGTTTAAGTTTGTTTGTGGCAGACTTGACCTTTAGTTACCTAGCCAATTGCTTTTCATCTACTGTATATATACTTAGTTTCTATAGTTGACCAAAGTTAAGTCACATGTTGCCTGTGATATTTAGATTGACATGCACATTTACAGTGCGCCGTGGATGTAAATGTATTATACATTCTACTGTATAATTTTGTCCACTGTGATATTTTTAAAAAATCTTCACTGGCTTCCTGTTAAATTTCGAGTAGAGTATAAGATTCTACTTACTTTTAAAGCTCTTCATAATTTTGCACCACAATATCTCTCTGATTTGCTTCATATTTACATCCCGAAGCGTACTCTCAGATCTTCTTCATCTGTTTCCCTTGTTGTACCTTCTATTCGTTTAGCCACTATGGGGTCTAGGGCATTTAGTTGTGCTGCTCCTAATCTCTGGAATTCTCTTCCACAATCTATACGAGAAAGTGACTGTCTGACTACTTTTAAATCATGTCTTAAAACTTACTTGTTTAAATTAGCTTTCTCTGATTAGTTTTAAATTATTTAACGTCAATAGTTGTTGTATTGTTGTTTTGATTTTATGATTATCACTCCACTGTACGGTGTCCTTGAGTGCTTTGAAAGGCGCCTTTAAATAAAATGTATTATTATTATTATTTATTATTATAAAGCACATATTCTGCATGACCATATTCTATATCTCTAATCCTACCCAATAACCTATAGCACAGTTTTATTACAGGTGGAATGCAAAATGTTTGAGTACAAGCATTTCAACCAAATTTATGCAATATTTCAAACCTTTAACCCACTGGGGAAAATCAACCCATGGCAAGAGTTTAAAAGCAGCCCAATTTCGTGGAAAAAAAACAATAACCACCCTGCATCCAACACGAGCTGCAGAAGTCAGATTTGCCTGATCACGGGTCAAAAGTAAGATGTTGGAGGATTTGCTCGTCAACAGATCCCGAGCTCACTGACAAATATCTTTTATCATTTACACAGTGCGCGGGCGATCGCAAAATCGAAAGTGAACTGCGACTGTGAGCGCTCATTGAAAAGGGATTTAAATATCCCACATATTGATAGCGGCGCCCTGATAAATTATATACAATGTTAGAATGTTTGCGGGAGCGGACACAAAAATCGCGGGAGCGGATGGGAGCATGCGGTAATGGTCAGAACTTGAAGTTCAGCGAGAGCGGGATCAACAAGCCCAGCGCTATCACGCAGCAGCGGCGCAGTCAGTCAGTGAGCGCCGTAACACATGACGCCAAATCTTGCGGGATTCCTTAAATAAACTACACAGAACCCCACTATTCGACAAATATACATCATGAAAAGATTATACAAAATTTAATGGAAAATGGCATTTAATACTTTTTAATACTTGTTAAGACCCCGCGGACACCCTGTTATACCATATTGATATAAAAATACAAAATGAAAGAACATATATTCCGTTTGTTATTAACAACATGAAGTGCATTAAACATTACATCAAGACTTACCAAACTGCAGGGGGCTCGTAAGTAACAAAAAGTAACAAAAGTAATGTAGTCTGATTACGAGTATTTAAATTTACGTTTATATGTAATCAGTCACTACCCAGCACTGTCCATCAGTCACTGCATCACTGGCTGCAGGAGCTCACGCTGAGAGAAAACTAGCAGCCTCTAGCACATAAATCTACATCAGCATCAGTGCTGGAAAGAGCTGCTCGGCTTTATAGGACAACTACAGCTCTGCCAACTAGGGCTGTGCAAAAAATCAAATGCGCATATCGTCAGTAAAGCCGCTCCAGTGATTAGTAGTAAATCTCCAGCACGTGCTTTCAGATGGAGCGGCATTTACTACACACAGCCGTAGCATTCGATTTTTTGCACAGCCCTACTGCCAACACTACTAGTATCAGCATATAATTACTCAACTAAATCTAGTCACTGAATAATCCATTAAAGGGCTTGTTCACCTAAACATGCTCATTCTGTCACCTTTGACCCCTCACACGTGTGTGTGTGTGAGTCTGTGTGTGTGTGTGTGTGTGTGTGCTCCACTCACTTCTGTTCCCCATGTGACCCCAGCCCGAGATGTGGCAGTACTGGTCAGCTTTGGGCAGCTGTCCGCGGCCGGGCAGACAGACGGGACGCACGTAACTGGTCACCTCCACCTCGGTCTCCAGCTCCAGCACGCTGATGTCGTAGTCCACCACGGCCCGGTTGTAGCGTGAGTGGACGATGATGCTTTTGACATGCCGCGATTGCATGTATGGAGAAGGATGATCCAGATTATTGATGCCAAGAACCACTTTCCACACGTCTGCGCTCTCACGCCTGCACACGCATAAAACACATCAATCTGACATGACTTACTCTGACTAGTCAAGCCACATTTATCTCTATAGCACTTTATACAATACAGACTGATTCAAAGCCGCTTCACAGTGATAAACAGGAAAATAACAGTGTTAATACTGCACAGCTTTCAGCTGTAAAGCAGTTCGCATTATTCAGATCAATTTAGTTCAGTGTTGAATCAATTAAACTGAATGTTGGGTAGAAAACCATGCAAGTGTGAGTGTGTGTGTGTGTGTGAGTCTCTGTGAGTGTGTGTGTGTGTCTCTGAGTGAGTGAGTGTGTGTGTGTCCGTGAGTGAGTGTGT